TAGGCGCGCTCTCATTGGTCGATAGGTGTGTTTAGATGAGAGTATGTAAACACTGTTGTGACGTTTTAGATTCGCGCGTATTTTTGAGAATTGTTTTATAAAAGCAATAGAGCATTTTTTCCGTGTTCACATAGCCTCATCTAAACACTTGGGGGCTGGGAGAATTCTCGAAAGTTATGCAAACCCTCAACTATGTCTTGTGTTTGCATAACTATCTTAAATTCTCCCAACCCTCCTCGTGTTTAGATGAGGCTATGAAAACACGGAAAAAGTGTTCTATTGCTTAAATAGAAACACGGTTTTTAACCAATCAGCACGCATATTTTCTTAGGATTGTTTTCTAATATTAATGTTAAATACACGATTCAACTGAGGCCTTGAGCTACTGTTATTTATTTTTAAAAAATGGAATTAATAATTCCAAGTTTTATTCACCGATCTACAGTATTGTCAGGGAATGTAACGAAAATATTCCACTGTGTGATATCATATAAAAAGTGGTGTAGGTGACACAAATAATTATTAGAATATATAATAAGGACAATGAGTTGTTCAAATGTGAGGACGGTAACGTGCAATAATATTATTACAAAATTGNTTTTTAAAGAATGGAATTAATTATTCTAAGTTTTATTCACTAATCTACAGTATTGTCAGGGAACGTAATGAAAATATTCCACTGTGTGTGATATCATATAAAAAGTGGTGTAGGTGACACAAATAATTATTAGAATATATAATAAGGACAATGAGTTGTTCAAATGTGAGGACGGTAACGTGCAATAATATTATTACAAAATTGCTCAAGGCCTCAGTTGAATTGTCTATTATTTTAACCACCCAACATGCTACTGAAGGAGAACTTCAACTATTATTATGTGAGACAAGTACATTATGCAGCTCTGCCATCTGGCTGATGCTGCTAGAGCTATATGGCCTAAACTACATGTACACACCACTGCACATACATACATGTAACTCTAATGAGATCAGGACAAGAGTAAACCCAGAGTGAGAAATATGAAAAGGTAAAGTCTGCATACGAGCTAAGTGCCCATCGGGCCAGAGCTTATTTCGGTTTTGGTAGCATGAAGCGACTAGGATTGTTTGCACTCCCCTTGGATGGGATGCTAGTCCATCACAGGGTTACCCCCAGCATTAAGTTCGCCGCTACCCATTAACACACCTGGGTGGAGAGGGGCACTGTGAGAGTAAAGTGTCCTGCCCAAGAACACAACACAATGTTCCTGACCAGGGCATGAACCCAGACTGCTCGATCCAGTGACGAGCACACTAACCATGAGGCTACCACACCTTTCACAGGCCGGGGGAAAAATGAGTTCTGTCGATCAGCTTGACCAATATCCTTGGGCGCTTACCATTCGACCAAAAATTCCGAAATTTTCGAAACGGGGTCAAATGGTATGGAAATTTCCAAGGTTAAGCTCTAGAAAATCCGGAAATTGTTGAATTGTCCGAAAAGCGAACCATTCAACCGAAATTTCAGGAAATTTCGGGATGAAAATTAAATGGAACGGAAATTTCCAGGAAAAAGTTTTCGAAAATTTGGTTATACCTCAAGAGGTTGTCCTCTTTTTGGGAAATTATGTAAACTCGCAATTTTTTATTCAGCGCTAGTTCTTTTGGCCGCGATCACCACGATCATCCCAGACAAAGATGACGGCGACGTGTATTCGAAATGGATTAATATTTTACTCGCCACTTGTCGGTCGATAAATGCTAACTTAAATTCATCAAGAAAGCGTTTAATTCCAACAAAAATTAAGCCCCCTGTGTGTACTTGTTTGTTTTGGATAGGTTAGCTAAGAAATGTACAAAGACTTATAACTTGTGCAGAGCCATTGTACGACTCATTAAATCCTTCGTTTTTTGACGTTTTCGCTGCGTTGTGGTTTGTATAAGGTCCCTGCTGTCATGGGCTATAAAAAGTCACTGTGTCGACGTATCAGTGCTCTGTATGCTTCTCTATTTGCTATTTAAACCTCGACATGAAGTCATTGAAAAAGTTGAAGCGAACAAAAGTGTGAGGGCGCTTTCCACTCTGGTGCAGCCACCGAAAAAGTCTGTTCCATTCGCCCTAGAAAATTTCCGGAAATTCATACTGGAATTTTTGGTCGAATGGAATAATCTATTGTTAGATTTCAGACTGTTATTCTGAGTTGACCTTATTCCCTACTTTGGCACTATAATGTCATACCTTTGGCAGTGATACAGTGAAAGGATTTATTCTATTTCTTGTACCACCGCATAGTGACCTAATAGTTAATTGTACTTAACTCTGGAATGAGTAACTTAGGTTCAAGCTCTGACTGAGGTCATGGTGTTGTATTCTTGGGCAAGAGTCTTTACTCTCAGAGTGCCTCTCTCCACCCAGATATTAAAATTGGTAACAGCAAATAATGTACTGGGCTAGAAATACTCCTGGTTGATACTAAAATGTTTTGCCTGCTTGTGAAAACCAAATGCTTTCCTACTGAAAACACAGACTTTGCCCACCTTTAACTTACTATTGGCACACCGCTCAGTTCTTGTTATGAACTGCTGGTAATTTCAATTTGTCGATGTTCTTTGCAGAAGAAGCCACCAGCAAGAGTCAGCCTGTCAGCTGATCATGAAGTTCGTTTAGAGACCCTTGAACATCAGCTCACTCGTTTGATTCACAACACGGTGAGTTGAATGTTGCTCAGGTCCTGGGTATATATTTAAATTTATTCCTTGTCTTGAAAACTAAACTCTCTACGGGGAACAGAACTCAGTGGCGGATCCAGATTTTGAGCTAAGGGGGTGGGGGTGGGAGGCGGTTTTGTTTTAGTTGCCCTGCCGGCTTTTCTTCTTTCAGTCATTTCTTCTTTTTTCGCTTAAAATAAGGGGGACGGGGCGGCCCCCCCCGGCCCCTCCCCTAGATCCGCCACTGGAACTATAATAATTATAGTTATCATTGTCCCTCTGAATAGGGTCACTGTGTTGTGTTCTTGAACAAGACTCTTAATAGGAATTATTTGGTGCCTCCAAAGAAACCAAGACAAACTTTCCTAGTGTGTATGGAGTGAAACATGCTTTAGAGCCATCGTACCATTGTAAGTAAGTGTCTTGCATGAGAACACAACGCAGTAACCACAGTCTGGGCTCAAACCTGGACTGCCTGACCTGGAGTCAGGCGCTCTAACCACCAGGTCATTGTGCCTCCCAAATAACTAGTCAAAGTACATGTTTGTAAATTATATTTTAGAACCAAATTCTCACAACTGGTGGGAAAAAAAAATGAAATTTATGGCAGTCATTAAGGGAAAAAAATTATTTAAGCCTTCAGACTTATTCCTTTTTTAGGAAAGAACCCAAGTTTCAAGGCACTCGGGGAAAACAAAAGAAGGAGTTGGTAAGTTTGGTTTTTGAAGACCTGAAGATACTGCTTTCATCAATACAGTAATATAGGGAACCTATACTAAGAATTTATTTGATGATATAATGAGCTTAGTATAAAATGTACATGTAGAATGTTTTTCTTTTGTAATAGAAAACAGCAACTCTGACGAGTCTGAATCAACTGAACAACCTGATAAAAGAAAACAAATTCAACGATCTCCCAAAGCTAAAAGAACACAGCGAATGCCAGTTTCCAAGAAGGGACCAATAAAGACGCGAACAAAGCCGTCTGTTCATGTCACAGTCGAGTCAACAAGCTCCACATCACCATCAGACCAACAAGCAAAACATCTGGCGATCAAAGGCAAGGCAGTGACAGGACGGGCAGTCAGAGATCCACGAGATGATGAAACATATCTGGTCAGTTTATAAGTAATGTTCTTTATCGTAAATGAACATGTGTCTGTACACGCTCAGTTATTTTACCATCAAAGAGATGTCTGGAATTTGAAACAAAAAATCCTCGCACGTCTATATGGTGTGTACTTCTATTTATGGGTACTGTTTAGAAAATGGCCTAGAGAAAAGACGCGCGCTGATTGGTTAGAAGTCGTATTTCTTTTTAACAATTAGATTATGAGCTCGAGATTTCTATCGCGTGATAGTTGACGAGGGCGCAGCCCTCGTCAACTATCACGCATAGAAAGCGAAAGCGAATAATCTAATTGTTTTAGTATAAATCTACTAGTCGTTCAAAACTTTATCGAAAACCCTCTTCATAGACACTTAGAAAACGCCAAGAAGCGGCCGTCATTTTGTTAACAAGTGCACACTGCTACGCTACTCACTATCTATTACAGAATAGATTGTGAGTAGCGTGGCCAATCAGAGAACGGTATTCGTGATAGAACGCTAGTAGATTTATACTAAAACTCGAAAGAAACACAGAACTAGCGCGAGCTGTTGACGTAATGACGGCGCGAAAAAAGAGAATTGTTTTAGGAGAATTCTAACGGCAATTAAAGCAAATCACGGTTTCCAATTATTTTTCTACGAATTATTAAACTTAACGCTTTAACAAAATCGCACGGATTGAATTGCCATTGGAAATTTGCAGTTGTTTACGCGCGCGCACCCGTTTGTTCAATAATTTCAAGTTTTTAAAGTCAAGAAACCGTTTATGTCCTTCTTTTAGTCTTTTCAGGAATTTAGTCATCCATTTACATCTAAACTTTCCTTCAAAAACTTCGGAAAAACGAAAAAACGCCGCATTTTGAGTACGCCCTCGTCTACTTTCACCGGATAGCAATCTCGACCTCATAGTCTAATTGTTAAATAGAAACACTCGTGAAAGTTTGGGAGAACTCAAAAAAGAAGTGGAAACACCTGCCTATTGGCTCGTGTTCCCACAGCATTTCTCGTTGTCCCAAATTCCCACTCATGTTTCTATTAAACAATTAGATTAATACGAGCTCGAGATTTCTAGTGATAGTTGACGAGGGCGCAGATAGTGAGTGGCGTAGCCAATCAGAGAACGCCATTCGTGATAGAACGCTAGTAGATTTATACTAAAACTCGATAGAGACACAGAAAATATCTTATATTTCCTATGTATAAACTGAGGAGGTTGAATGAGTTAATTTAAAGTTTTTGTCTTACTTTTTGTAACTTCATTTTTGTGCCAAATAAACTGAATAATTAACAGTTGGATTCATGATGGCCTGTTGTTTTGCCTATTTAGTCACTCATTCAAGAACTAGATTCTGAGCGTGAGCGAAGGTGGAAAGCTGAACAGGCTGCCAGAAGAATGGTTGACGCAATTAAAGAGATGCAACTTAAAGGTTTTTGTCTGGTTCTATTGCGAATAATAACAATGACTTCTTACAGATTTAGGAGTATTAAAAAGAAAAAGTCTTACATTATTACAAAGAAAAGTATGCAATGGAATGATTTGTTGAGTAAGTTCCTCAAAACTTGATTGCAATATTTATTTCAAATATTCACAGCCTTGTGGAAGCAATTTTGCAGATCCGCCAGTGCGGGAATGTCAGGTTTTCAAAAATGTATTAAACTAATAACAGATAATTTAGTGCGGTTTTCAATTGAGTGTCGAAAGTAATTAGACAATTACTTTGGTTTTGGTTTTGGTTTTACTACGCGGTTTGAGATTGGCTGAGAAGTCTAATTGGTAAATAATTGGTTTGGTTTTGGTTCTACGACACTCAATTGAAAACCGCTCTAATGCATCCTTATTTATTTGTTTTATGGTTTTTTTTTTGCTTGTGAATGTTTTCAGTTTTCTAGCTTTGACTCGACATTATGTGCAAAGGCAATAACATGCAACAGAAAATCATGTGAAAACTTACTTTTTCCTGTGTACTGGGTAGTTAGCTATACATGTAATCATTTACTTGACAAGTACAATCCCCATTTTGTCGTTTTACGTGTCACATAACAGAGACAGAGGAGAAGAAACTAAGGGAAGCTTCGCTGGCGGCGAGCAGTCGATTAAAACGTGCGCTGCTTAAAGAAAAGGAAACAAAGGATTCTCTGCAGAAAGCTCTAAATGAAATACAGGTGTGGATTGCACTGTTTTTGGTTTGTTTGTTAGGCTTAGTTACGTTTTATTTTTCAATGTTTTTTTGTTTTTTGACGTTCTGAATCTGAGTTCTAATTATGATGAACACGCGATAAAGCCTCGATGTTCTCACAAATTTTACTCGGCTCTCCATAACTATGTTCATAAATTTGTCTTATGATTGTTTTAAGAATTTGGTAGATCGCGGCAATGTGTCCTAGTGTTGGTATTTATTATAGAGAGCTTAATAAGCACAGACAGTTAGGTATTACAGACGTCAACTGAAAGTTTGCGTTCTTTCTTTTGTCCCATTTTCACGCCCCACCAACGAGTTGAAAAGCTCTCACCAATTGCCAATATATGACAAAGAAGAGAAAATTCGAGTTGCGCTTCACGACCGTCCGTTCCCTGTTGTAAGCTGATTTCGACTAAACGCCATTTAGTTTTAACGCACTCTGGTTTTGTTAACATGGCGTAGTGAAAAGATAAGATAGTTCAAGGTTGTGAGAATTCCGAAGTTTTTCTTTCCCAAACTTGCTTCATTGTTTGCCACATAGTGTGCGAGCAGAAACCGGCAGTTTTTTTCTGTTGTAATGATATGTGTTGTTTAATTTTTTCGACTTTTAGGCACAAAATATTGAGCTTAGTGAAGAAGTAAAAAGGCTGAAAGAAACTGAAGAAGAACAACAAAGAGCGCTGCGAGCATTAGAACAAGCCACAACAAAGATGGAGACAGACAAGATCAAACAGCATGCCGAGGCGGTCAGTGGGTCACATTATGTGTAGGCTCTCATTAATTAAGGAGGACAAAGATTTTGCGGCCTTTCCACGAGATTCAATGGAGTTAGCATCTTTAGGCTGTGACTTTAATTTCTGTGTTCTTGTAATAAGCAAAGCGAGACGACCGCTTGTTAAAGGTATACGTACGACAAGGAGTTTAGAAGATTAAAGATCAACAAAAAGATGTTAAAAAAGCGTCGGAAATTAATCAAAAACTTTTCAATCGAGAAGCACCTCGTAATTACTACCACCTTCTCGAAGCCCGCAGAAAAAAAAACAACTCAGTCATTTGCTTATTTTCGCATAGTCCTCTTCAATAAGACTACTCGCTAATACAGCTGCGTTTGATTGCCAGTTGGTAGTCGGATTAAAAGTGTTTAATTGTTAACAAATTTTTGTTATCTTTTACAGGTTTCCCAGTTACAACAGGAGCAGATGAGGGTAGGCGCCTTGACAAAGGAATGCGAACTGTCAAAACACTCAGTTAAACAACTGAAGGGTCAGGTACATCAGCTGCAAGAACTGCTTGCTAACAGAGAACAGGAACACAGGTAATTGTCGAGTTGCTCGCCCATAAACGAACAGACTACCGCCGCCGCCGCCACAACCACCAAAACGACTACTATTATTATAATTAACAGTCTAGAATTAGCTTTTGGTAGTTTGTACAGAGTAACGACTCTCTTAACATGTATAACAAGAAAGCCGTAGCATTATCTCAGAGGCGGGAACTATTTCTCTTATCTACAGAAAAGCAGTGGAAGGCCTGGTACGAGCGGACAGCCAGGAGGTGCGAGAGATGGTAGATCGGGAGGTTGCTAAGCAGGAGGGTCTTCATCAGCAGATCATAAAAGATTATCAAGACAGGTAAGAATCGAGTTCGGCCATAGGTAACGTGTTCGATGGAAACTAAATTGGTTGACTTTGCGTACTCACATCGTGCGTGAGACGTGGTGGCTGGGTAACTCCTAGGACTCTTGTTCGTGCCCTCGCCAGGGTTATGTGTACTTGCGTAATACATTGTATTCCTAAAGTCCCTCTCCAGCACAGCGAATAAATAGGTAATGTCGAACAATTACGGCAACCTGGCAAAGTGCGGCGGGGATTGCCTTCGATGGACAGGGGGAGTTGGGGGTGGGGGGTGGGGGGTGTAGCAATACTCTTATCCAGGATAAAGTCAGGCGTTGAAGGCTAAAAGGCTTTTCCAGTCTATTGGATTGATACAGACAGTTACCTTTCTAACTAACTTTCTAACTGACTTTCTAAAAACTTAACTTTTAACTTTTTGAAAACTTAAAGTTTTTAATCCTAACACGGTCCTCTTGACTGCACCATAACAGGCTGAACAAACGAGACGTGGACTATGCCGCCTTGGAAGACGAGTTTAGAATGGGTCTTCAGATAGAAGCAAATCGATTCAGAGAGGTGGGTACTAATAACATCGACCCACGCCACTGTTACCACTTTAGTCCTTTACAGTCATTTAAACCTAACTGATTTTTATGTAGCTAAAAGAAATTCAATGAGCCAAGTTATAAGAATGACAAATATGTCGTTTAGTAGCGGTCAAATGTTAAGCTTGTTTTGTTCTTTTGTACCGAATAGCTTCAGGAAGCATTTGAACGAGTAAGCGATGAGAGCGCTCAACAGAAAGAAGCTCTGCACACTATTAAACAGAAGGAAAATAAAGCAACCACCATGGTGAACGAACTCACGGCGGTACGTACCTGTATCTAACTTCATTTTCTATAAGCTTGTTAACGACTCTACAACTCGTCCCTACCCTTCCCCTGTACCAGAGCAATTTCATTGTTCTTTATAGTTCCGTCTGAATTCATATCAATCCTGTCTCTGAGCCCGCGGTTTTGTTAGAGGAGTTACTTAGCAACAAGCCTCGAACATACCCTACCAGTATGATAACCTTTACCATTTCTGATTGGAAATAACAATCGAAAACTCTTCGTGAGTTCAAATGAGACATAGTTAAAGTTTACTCTGAACGAGAACAGAGCTCAACCTCGATCCCAGGCTCTCTCTCCTTTGCCTTCCTTGTCGTTGAGGGAGGCAAAGGAAAGAGAGCCTGGGATCGAGGTTGAAGTGAGCGTCTCCACGTGTCATGACGTCACGTCCCAAAAAGTGACATTTCTCTCCCATGGGGGAATATGTTCTTTTCTTATGCCAACATCCCCTACTGTTTAATTGGGAACACTAAAATTGCCTCCAAGAAAACCCACTTTTGAGCGTTTTCACTCACGTGGCCAGCAGCTATGCAAATTTATCGGAACAAAAGAAAGTGTTTACATAAGAAAAGAGTTCAATTCACACAGGATAGGTTTGGTACACCAACATGGCCGCCGTTTCATTGTTTTGGAACACCAGTGTGGTTGCCGTGACGTCATGTGAAAACGCTCTATTTAGTAAATTCAGTTTTTATTCTATATTCACGCTTAGATGGTGAAGGAGCAGCGTGGAAGAATCACTGAACTGTCGCGTGGGAGACAAGAAATAGTCGGAGATTACAAGGTATGTATGGGATGTCTTCATCCCTAGGGTGAGCGCATCATCCCTGGGATAAACACTGTTTGCTAACCATCTCATCACATAGTGAGGTGGATGTACACGAGTATATTGTCTAACTGAAATTTCTATCTTGTTTCTCCAGGAAAGAATACAGAGTTTAGAGAAACAACTGAACGAAGCTAACAGACAGCTGACGAGATTGGAAGTACTGGAACAGGTCAGTCCTTTACCGAGAGCTACTTGCTTAAAAAAATACTTTGGTTTTGGTTTTACGACGCTCAATTGATTGCAAGCCACACTAATCTATCAATTTAGCTTGTACACTATTCAGTTGTTGTGTACGCAAAGAATGGTCCATTTGTTCTACTGAAAGTGTGTTTTAGAGATATTTTTTTTGTTTATTTTAGGACAAAGCTAAGTTAACGGCTCAGATACGAGCACAAGGATCAGTGATCGAAGGACTGAGAACTGAAAGAAAGTTATGGAGCGAGGAACTCGCGCAGCAAGGTAGTACAAAACAAAGCACAACACGCATAGTTTGTCCAGTGGAAATTAATTTGTAGTAAAAAGCAACATCTTACAGTATAATGAAATTTAAAATACGCGTTGGCACTTCCTTGGAGTGGCGTTTGGTGCACCGTTTCCATTTGAGTTGGAACTTTGAAGTGTTCTTTTTGTGGATAAAAGGAAACAGGAGAACAACGAGAAAAATCCTCGATCTAAGGACGAGAACCAGCAACAAACTCAACGTACATATGACGTCAGGTTCGGGATCGAACGCCGGCCATATTGGTGGGAGGCGAGCGCTCACCTCTGCGCAACTCCTGCTCATTAAGTCGAGGAAGTAAGCTGAAATGAAGCTGGAAATTCTTGTGGTCTACAGCAGGCCTCAGTTGTTCGAAGGCTGGATAACGCTATCCACCGGATAAATCACTATCTAGTGGATAAGTGTTAACAAAACAAACCACGCTGTCCGCTGGATAGAGTGGTTTTTTCCGGTGGATAGCGTTATCCACCTTCCGAACAACTCAGGCCAGGAGTTTCCAATTCTTATTCTCCAATCAAAACTAATAACACGAGCTCACGTAGCAACATTTTCACCGTTAACCTCGACAAGCGGTAATTGCACTTGACAAGCGGTCAAGATTCAAGGCCAGTTGTTTTGTCAACAGGATCTTCACTCGCTCAAGATCGCGGACGAATGGAAGCTCGCATTGAAGCACTGACAGCTGAAGTTAGCGAACTGAAGAAGGAATGCCAGGTGAGGCTACCAGACGTAGTTAATAACATTGTTTCACATCGCAAACGTTGACAAAAGCTAATCTAGGCTACGTATTAGGCGTTCAAAGGGGAAGGAGAGCTTCCCCGAGATAGGGCTCCCTCCCCGAACACTGCTTAATACATCACGCTATTTATTCGACTTTTACGGTATTTTCCGAGTAGCTTGTGTCACTTAGCTGTTGAAAATCGTTTTCATTTGAAAGAAACTTCTTTGCCGTCTTTAACAAGTAACATCATCTTTCGGTCATAAATTTTGTCTCAGAGTGCCAATGAAACGATAGCTATCAAGTCCAAAGTTATTGAGGATCAGACGGACTCCATTAGAAAACTCAAACAGGTTAGTGTGTCCCATACCCAAGTTCGTTGTTATAGTTTTGTTCGACATTCCTCATTCACACCTCTGACCCAAAATAATTCTCACCTTTTCTCCTAATCTGCCTCTGAATAGGAAAGGTTGCTACACCCTTTTCTTCACGGGAAGGTAATATGCGCTATGGCATAGTATGTTTTCTGTTATCTCGGTTACGGGACATTTTACAAGGATCTGTTATGGTCAGTTCTCACGGGAAAACCCTCGGCAACGACCCTCGGCAACGAAAGGTATTCCGCGGGCTAACTTTCATAAGCTAGAGAATAAGTCTGCGTCAGGCCAGCGGCTCATTCAGCTTGACTTATTCCGGTTTCTGAAGTGTGAAGCGACTAGAAGTATATCCCCTTTTCCCTGGATGGAATGCCAGTACATCGCAGGGTTAACCTCGAGCATTAGGTTCGCCGGTACCAATTTATTCAGCTGGGTGGAGATAAGCACTGTGAGAGTAAAGTGTCTTGTCCAAGAACACAACACGATGACCCTGGCCAGGGCTTGAATCCAGACCGCTCAATCTGGAGCCTGGGGCCTTAACCATTAGACGCCTCGAACGAACGAACGAACGAACGAACGGACAGACGGACGGACGGACGGACGAACGAACGTTAAAAACATCAACCGTTAAAGCTTTGTCTGTCTTCTTTAGAAACTTGCAGATCAAGATTCCGACATGCGCCAGAAGAAAGAGGACAGCAAAGCACGCGAGAGAAATCTTGAAGAGCAGTTAGCTGCCGAGTCATCTGCTAATCAGGAGCTGCAGGTCAGATTTGCCTCTAAATTCTCTTTACACAGCATATCTACGAAAAATAAAATGAAAATAAATAACCTTATTTGCGTGTCGAATCTATTTTGCACTGTTGTGCTAATTGGGGACACTGTAAATAAACTACCAAATATTGTAAATTGAACATAAATTATTAAGAATCCCAACTGTTGGGAGGCTGACCAGTTAGCAACAACGAGGTGGAGGAGTTGAACTCGGGACTACCAAGAACAAATCAGGGAACCAGGGACCCCCAGATTTCAAATCCAACGCCCTAAACCACTCGGCCACGCCGCCTCCGCAGTAACAGGTCTTTCCACAGTACTGTGAAAAAGTAACTAAGCGAATTTCCAAATCCTTTATAATCTGTCTTTTCTGAGCCGTCTTTCCATAACAAGTCGCTCGTGACCCTTTCTTTCTGTGCATTATACATTAACTTTATACTGTGACTTATTATTCAAATTTAACAGGAGCAAATGGATGCGCTTATTGATCGCAAGGAATCACTCAAAGAAGAATTAAAAAATACACAAGGCGAGCTTCAGACTTGCAAAGAAAGTCACAGGTACATTTAAAATGTTGTTACCTGACGTAGCACTCGATGCAAGGTCTTTCCCTATCACCTAGGGTGTTTTCCATTGTGCCAAAGGTTCCGGAAATTTCAGTCGGAATTCAAATAGAAACGTCCGTTTCGGTTTCTGCTGACCGGAATATTCGGGATCACCTCTGGAGGCGGTCCACTTATTTCGGTCGGAATATCTCCGACCGAAATTCGCTTTTCCATTTTTGACGACCCGGTTCTTTGCCCTAATTAGGGAATTCGGAAAAGGGATTAAAAATGGTAAGAGCCATTCCTATTGGTTGGCTCGGTTTAATTGGAAAATGTCCCGTTTTCCTCGGGTATTCCCAGTGATCTCTGACCGGTCGGTTTGGCATAATGGAAAGCACCCCTAGCAACTGAAATATTGTCCGGTCTGAAGGTCACTGAGCCTGCGAGGTTTGTACGAGGATGCTTCAAAACGTGACGCGTGCTTACCATGACGAATTGGCTTTGGAACTCGCACGTGTGCGTGTAAGTTTCGCATTGGTTGCTTAAGGATTGTGCAATCTTTACAGTTTTTTTTTTGTAGATATACCCTTCGTCGTCCAAAACGACGGGAATAAACGCAACGCACACCTGTTTCCCCTACTGTCTCAGCCTTGTAGCCACCTGAGTGGCCGTTTGTTTTCGCCTGATATTTCTTTCTTGTAGCCCAGTTTTTCCTCGTGCAGCAATCAACTTAGTCTGCGCTTCCTTTACCGGTAACGAGAACGTAGCCAAACAAAAGGTTTAATATTAAGCAATACAATAGCTGTGCAAGTGCATTATAAATCTTTGTACAGGACTTGAGATGACCAAGTTCTGCGTAGTCTGAGGAACGCAACCCCCGACGGTTAATTTTTCGTAGCCCGAGCAAGATTTTAGAGCCATTGGCGTTCTGAACAGATTCAGACAATTGCGAAATCCGCAGTTGAAATATAAATTCATTTTTGCGGGGCGTCGTACTCCCGTCGCCATCGTCGTTGCTTTAACTCCCTAATAAGAAATCTTTAACCGAGCCCGGCTTGATCTTATAAGGATCTCAAACTTGACAGGACGCTAAAAGCAAAGTGGCAGGAAAAGAGTGAACTCATAGGCAAACTGGAGAAGGAAGTCGTAGAGATGAGGAACAATTTTAAGGAGAAAGAGAAAACGTTGACTGAGGAGAGAGACAAAGCTATCCAAGCGGCCAAGTAAGCTAACACGTCTTGAAGTTTTGTTTGTATCCAGAACAACATCAAACAAGAGGAGCAATGATAAAAAAAACTGCAAGTCTCTTGTTACTAAAAACCATCTATAAAGTGGGCAGGATTGACACAAACACAGAAAAGTTATTTAATAACCCAGAGAGTATTTTTCCTGTTTTTTGTTTTTATTGTTTGTATCTTATTACACGGCGTTTTCTCCTTTAAAAATGCTTAGTTCCGCTGTGGAGAGGTTAAAAACCTGTGATGACGCTTTCCGCAAACAACTCGAGCAAGAAAGACAGGCGCATGAACAACAGATTCTAACAATGACCAATGAAAAGCAACGTGAGATAGAACAGGCCAACTCTAGGGTAAGACATGATAAACTTTATACTTCCAACGTTCCTTGACCTCTTTTATTCGCGGTACAATCACTTCACAGTAGAGAACCATTTAGCTAAATCTCAACACAAATATGAGCTTGAACAAGAACCTAACATTACATCAATTTATACTCACCTTAAGCACTGTTCAAAAAAGTTCTTTTGGCTGTGTTAAAACAGCCTTCTATGAATTCTGTGATCAATTCTTAATCGCTGGAGGAACAACAAGATAAGAAACTTAGGGCGGTTTTCTTGAAAGAGGAAGAAATATCACCCCTATCATTATTTTGTATAGACTTGTCACAAATCAACCTTTGCTTAATCCTTCGCTTATTTATCTTCAGTCCTCGAGCAAAGCGAGAGGTATAAGTTCGAGCGAGGTAAAATTTATTTCTTGAAATTAATTAATAGGTCACCATTGATCTTTTTGCAGGTGTTAGAAGTGGAGGATGAAATGCGCGTACTTTTACAAGAGAATGCAATAACGAAGAAAACTTTGGAAAAACGCCTTCAGAAACTCACATCGGCTTTCACTGAAATTCAACATGACCTAGTTGGGACGTGAATATACTTCACTCATAGCGCATCAATGTTGTAAATATATACACCTATTTTGAAAATTTCTGTTTTCAGAAAGAGAGAATGTATATTATTTATAAGAATAAATACACTATTTTCATCATTTGCTCATCATGCTAAATCTTAATTACACTACCTAGAAATACACACACAACTGCATAGATACGTATACAGGGGCAGAAGTGTAGTAGCTCTCGTGAGCTTGTAATTCTCTTCATTGTTAGCAGCTGTTATTGTTTTAGGGCTAGGGGCATTGTTTCTGTTGTTTGTTCTATTGTCCTCTCAAAGGGTTTCAAGCCATTCATGTCAGACCTCACGAGAGCTGCTACCCTACCCTACACGGGCCTGTAGGTCAGCAGGGACCTCATATGCAGCTTATTGCGAGCTAACTACGGCACCGTCGGATACGAAAACTAATGCTGTCACTCTGGGGCAGAGGTACACAGAAACAAACAATCGCTTACAAAACCAATCAGATTGCAGGATTCGTTAGCGTGCTCGCTTGGAAAAAATAAAAGACGCTATCCCGCCCTATTTCGCAAGATAATTATTATACATATGGGTAATACGACAATTTGTCAACGTAGGATAAGGGGAGTACGTAGAACTTGTCTTTTACAGACGGAAGCCAACAGGTTACGGCGCACCATACATGGTTCAAACGTGAATTCGAGCAGGTTTGACCACTCAAGTTAAGCAATTAAAATATCACCCTAAACAAAGATAACTTTAGCTAGGCATTCAACTCAGTCTTGTACTTCAACTTCCTTTAGAGTTTAATTACTTTCAATTTATTAAGGTACAGTTTCTCCACATACCATTGGCTAAATAAAGTCACTGACTTCATTAATGCGTGCAGCTTAACAAAGTTGACTTTACTAAATCACAGTTCTGCTCGCATATGAAACAGAGCGAAACTGCATCTAGGAATGAGGAGTTGAAAGCGTTTCCACTCATACCTGATGCATACTTGTCCTTTTTCTAACATTATTTCTGCTTGTTGTGTTAAAATTCTCATCCTGGAGATAACATGATGTTGCTTGCTTTTATAACAGTCACTTTATGAACGTTGCAAAATGCTGGATGGTGTAACAGGATCACCAGACGTGTGCAACATGCTGGGCTCAACGATGTTGCAATATGTTACGTTGAAATGCTGCGTGCGTCTGTCTGGGCCTTTTTGCTCCATACATGGTAAAAAAGAAACGCAAAGGAAGAAGACATGCATAGTAAATTGTCAAATAAATTGACAAATATTGATAAACCTTAAACCCCCTCCCTTTACAAGGAGGAACTGATGAAGAAAGCAAATTTCAAGAAGTTACATTCAAATTGTAAACGTACGAGCATATGCAGAAATGTAAACGATTTTCGAAAAACAAAAACTGTTTTAACATGTTAAAATGTTCTTAAGTCAGTTTGGTCCTGGCATCTTTACTTTTTTATGACTTTTTTTTCCGCAAAGGAGGGCTGAATACTTTGACAATTCAATAAAACGATTTATTTCCCAAAGGTGTTCAGCTACTATACCGCTGTTTTGTTTGTTACTTTTCTAGCTATTTACACCTTGTTATCTAATCTACTCATATAACCTACACCAGTTAACGTCGCAGTTGTCTATGGTAGGAGAGAGAGTTAACGGCTGTAAGGAGGCCTAGCTCCAAGACGCAAAATTCTGAGAATTTATATATATTAATATTCACTACTTTTACATAAAATGAACTTCATTTGTACATGAAATACGTGAATCATTGGCTGATAATGATCAGTACTCGCACAAGTGTACGAAGATAAACGATTCTTGATACCACATCACAAACAAGCACGAGAACCCTCTGAGACATGACGGACGCCCCGCACCTCTTCAGAACCTGCAATTTCATTGGCTCCCTGTTTCACGCACTTCTATTGGTTCATTGCTTCTGATTTTGCGCTATTGTTTTCTCAGCCAATTCTGAGAGGTGCGTTGCGTCTCAGACATGAAGAGACCGGATATTCAATGTTGCTTAACAGCCCCACTGACCACGAAGCGAAACGCTCCAGCTCAGGTAATTCTCGCAGACACGGACTCGACTTTTATAACGGCTCGTTTCCCTGCAGAGTGCAATTATTTGATCTGTTGAGGGAGTGCAAATCGGATACCAGTCGATAACTATTGTAGATGTGTGCAGAAGTGTAGATTCGGACTCGGCGTCTTGTCACACGTAATACTGGAAGTCTTTTGGAGGCTCTTTGCGCCTAGAGAGAGTTCTTAAAACCATTTTTCTGATCTCGTCCACAAGAAAAACGGAAGACGCAATGCAAACTAATAACAAAAGGTCAGTACAGTGAAGAGCCTCCGTGAGAAAGACAGCCTGAAGAGGAGGGAAGTAAATAACTAACATCTGTCCCATCAGAGAACCGCCAACGGCGTAAAGGAACATTCGATTTGTGAAGAAACCTACTTGGAAGATCGACTTGACCTATGAAACAACAGGAAGAAAGAATGTGTGATTCAAACACCACTGAAAAGAAATGGATCAAAAGCTAACAACTATTTTTAATTGTTTGACAAAACCAAGATCAGAAGTCATTTTGCAAACATCTGGGCCAGGTTCAGTTGTTCAAAGCTTGATTAAGCTAACCCAGGATTACCGAGAATTTTGATTTCAGTTTTGTAACTTTGGGTGAGGTTTTCTGTTTATATTGTTTGGCCTCCTGTTTTGAGTTTGAATAATCTCAAACTACACAAAACATAAGCAGTGAAAAACCTTTTTATACAAGAAGAATTTATACTTGGCTTAACTTTTCACCCTGGGTCAGCGTTAACCGGCATTCGACCAACCTAGCCCACCGAGTTTTACGCATCTCATGGCGCTAGGCGCAGAGCGCCTCTGTCCCCAGACAAACACTCTAATCGGACTAAGAAGGACTTAGTAAGTAAGGCAACTAGTCTCTTGAGCAATTTAGACAGTTTCTAAGACCAACATTCCCACATTTAGGTTTGAACCTGACCTGTGAACGGCAGCTAAGCGCGTTGAACATGTCAAAGAACACAAAGCACGTGAACGTCATGGTAGTGTCACGTGGAGTGATGATGTTGTCTCTCATCTGGAAAAATATGGAAGGAAGACCAACTAATGGATTAGTATAATACAACGTTATAAAATATTTGTTTCGCCAGGATTCCAGATACGTTGTACAGGCAAGAAGTCAATATAAAATTCCAACAGGTCAATTGACATGACCTTTACCAAATCATCAGAAGTATCTCTATTATTTACTTAGGTCAGAGACTTTTTTTACTTCAGAAAATAAAATTACCTGGAACACTGATTACAAAGCTTAAAAAGTTGTTAAAAAACAACAAAGGGAAAGATTCTTACTCCACCTCTACTTACAGCGACCTTTCTAATACAGTAAGGTAATATTGCTTACCCGGACTACTGGCAAATCTTTCTGAAACCTCCCCACTAAAAATATTCGGTGGTATCTCGTTTTCACAGTTAAAAATCGAGAACGACAGACAACTATTATATGTTCTACTCGCACCGAATTTAGCCCTACTACTTCACGCACTCCTTTTTCGTTGCTTTCAAAGATGTGCTGCCACAACCAAATAATTTATTCTCCAATTGCACAGGCTTGAAATCAATCCCAGCAAAACACTTAAAGACTGCACTACCTACAACGCCAACATCGGCCTTTTGCCTGCCAAAATTTAACCTGCTCAAACACGCACCATGTAAGCTGCTTGAGAACCTACCTCTCTCCAGAAGACCCAGAGTGTGCCAGTTACTATAAGACTAGCGGACAAGAGAACGTTCATTATAAGGGCCCTAGTGATCATTGGGTTTTTAACGTTTCGCGGGGGTTTATTCATGACATCACGGTCCACGGGTTCCACGCCGAGACTGCAAAAAAAAGTAGACAAGGGTCACCCGCACAGAAGTTGTGGTAAGGTGTGTGGGTAAGTGTATAGCTGGGTGGGAATCGGCTAACCTTGTGAAGCAGAGGCATATAGGAAAGAGCCAGAGGAGCCAGATGACTCACAACTCCAGTTTCCGTAGCATGAAATGTCCAGGAATATTGCTACCAGCCCCCCCTCCTTTCCCCCCCACCCCCCAAATTGATGCTAGTCCATCGCAAGTTGCTTTCAGTATTATCTTGCTGGTACCCATTCTCATGGGTATAGGAAGTCACTGGAAAGTAAAGTTTCTAACACAACGGCCCCACGCTTGGACCCTTTGACCGGGTACGGGTTAACTACTACTAATACTCAACGAACTGGTGAAGAAAGTCACTGCGGAGGAAAACCATCTTGCTCCGGAACACAACGACCCTGCCAAAGCTTCTACTCAGAATTTTTGATCTGCAATTCAACGCATTGGCCAAAGAGAGGCCATAGTTGTGATTATGGCCGCATTGGCCATAACCACAACTCTCGTCATTATTTCTGATATCTCACCTCTGAGCGGGAGGTCCATCCATGATGATGTTAATCCATAAAATCTGCATGGCATTCAGAGGATTGGGAAGCTTTAGAAACGTTGATATTGTGATTAAAGAAATCGCTGCAATGCTCCTATACATGGAAAACAGAAAATATCATTTAACTAGAATCTTGGTATGTTTGTCTATAAAGGAAAAGGCTAAAGCACTTTTCCGATTGGACATGAAAAAGCTATCGTGAAATCTCCAAGAAAAGGGGAGCATGTGATTCTAAACGACACACTAGATATAAAAAAAAACCCGCCTTAAAATTTTCGAAATACAAGATTTGTATAACGAGAAATTCTACCCATGTTTATGAGGGAATCTCGACCTTTTATCATTACTCCGCTTAGCACATTTCTCGCTAGCCTCTTCCAGGCGCTCTGCTAGTTGGGCGCGGCGCGAAAAACAGGAGTGAAGGGCAGCGACCCTCTCCGCCTTGTTCGACTCCGCCGTTTTTTCGCGCTGCGTCCCAGCTAACCGGACGCCTGAAAGGGGCTAATTTCTCGCCTGATCTATGAACAAGTCGGGAGTCACAGTTTGCAGTTTACTCACGTGCTTAGCTGGAAACGAACAAAGTTCCTGATGTTGTAAAAGATTCCTTTGCCTTCCTCGATGGCAGCCAAGATGGTGGAGAAGTCGTCATTGACCAACACCATGTCTGCTGCCTCCTTGCTCACATCAGTCCCCGCTCGACCCATAGCCACGCCGATATCAGCTCGGCGAAGAGCCACTGCGTCATTTACGCCGTCACCAGTCATCGCCACCACGTGGTCACGCTGCTGTAGAGACTGCAAAACAAAATACGAAAGACTACTAAGAAGAATATTCTAGTTTCAGCTACAGCCGAACGAGGCGTGTTTCTTCCAGAGCGTAACATGGTTGCCACAGACATCACTTTTCAAAATTCCCTGACTTTTCCCTGATAAAACTACAATTTTCCTGGCCCAACTGTGATAAATACAAAATGTCAGATATAGTAGCGGCTTCTAGCCTCTACTTACAGCCGTCCTTTTCCCTCATTCATTAAGACGGATAAGTTTTCAACAAATTTCCGTTCTCCAATAAGGAAAAATTATCGACGAGATCACAGTGACCCCAAATGTTGCTTCTAGCCTTCAATGATATTAAATCAACCGTGTTACATTATTTCAATTTTCCCTGACTTTTCTTCAAATGTCAATCTTGAATCAAAATAGAATTCCCTAACTTTTCCCTGACCTTGAAGAATTTGTTTTCCCTGACCATTTCCTGACCTGTGGCTACCCTGCGTAAAGTTTCCAAAGGTTCAGAAAACTACTGTTCAGTGAAACTCCTTAAAGTTGAATTTTCACTTCGCCAATCCACGTAGGAAAAAAGATGGCGGATGTACATTTTACCACAAGGCCTTGCGAACCTAACACAGCCTAAAAGGCACAAAGAAAAGCAAATTTTTACAATATATGTCCCTGTACTAAGGACATTAAGTAGCCTAGGTTAATGTTAATGTTTTCGTGCGCTAAGAACTATGGGTAAATGTACCAGTCGCCATCTTTTTTCCTACGGAGGATTCCGGCAGGTTAGATGCTGTGAATGAAAATGATGGAAATAAAGTGGAGTGTTCAACAAAACTACGANAAAAAAAAACAGAGTAAATGAAAACAAAGGAGCAAAGAGTTCTAGCAAGACGTACCTTAACAATAGCTACTTTATGTCTGGGACTCACTCGATAAAACACCGACGCCTGTTGAGAAAACAGCAGAGTGAGTGATGGCTCACCTACATCGCATGTTAGACAATGTAATGAAAGGAAAGTGGACGTTTTACAAGCATTTACATGAGGTCTGTGCTTTCTGAGCTCCATAGGAAGCTAAAAAAATACTACTTGTACAAGGTTTAGGACAGCCCAAAATAATGGCGCCAATGAGAAGATCAGAACACAACAGGCTACGTGCCACAATATACGGTCAATGTAGACCCTTTACCTGATGTATGGCGTCTCCTAATTGAAAACTGTCCATCGCTTCTAGCTCTTCTCCCGACAAAGTTAACCTTCCCTTGACATGAATTCCCAGGATTTCCGCTGTAAATGACAGAGAAAACGAACTCTAGTTTGTATACTGTAGAATCCCACTTTAACGCCCTGAATGGAGGCTAGAAAGTGATACACTAATGACAAATTTCTTACGCAGTTGTTGGCGATTTGGCTCGCAGAGAACGAAAGGTAAGGTAAAGCATACATTTATACACGATCTAAAAATATAACAGCAACGCTGATGTGGTAATGTCTAAAAAATTAAAAAAATATATCGATAAGACTATCTAACAGACTACGGAGAACCAACAGAGAGACGCCAAACGTTGTATATAGTTAGCTAAGACTCTACCAAGAGGTCATGGCGCCTTTCACTGTAACGTACACCTTATTTTCAACAAAGATTGTTTGGTGTATAAACGTCGCCTTAACTGACGTTTGCTGAATTAACAGTTCCTATAAGTGGGACCCTGTGTAAACCAACGCTACCACGTTTCTGAGAGTGAGTTCGACCTTATTTGTGAACCTGCTTAGCTAAACATGTTGAGTTTACCGATAGTAAGTGCAGTCTCCCGCGCGTCTCCTGTCAGCATCTTGACCTCCACCCCACTCTCTAGCAGCGTATGGACAGCCTCACGCACACCGGGTCTGGGGGGGTCAAGTAGACCCATTATACCCAGGAATGACAGCTGCTGCAAGTCGGTTCCCATGGCCAGGGCTATCACTGTCAAAAACAAAAATACGGATTAGTTTGTTCCATTCTGTCAACGTTTATCACAGGGGTTAGCAATCCCAAATCAAAGTTATAGACTTTGGTATAAGCACACTGGAAAGAGGTCTCCTTCTTTTGCTCAGGTGGACTGGGAAGTGCATCTGGAATGTTCACACTACATTAAGTCCTGTTGATAACACTGAAGCACTTCAAAATATTTAACTTGTCATTTGCATTTGTTCGAATGGCTCACCAAAGTACTGAAAGGGTCGTAAAAAAATGCAGAAGTACTACAAACTTACTTAACTCCTGATTTCAGATATATTCTTCAACAATGTAAATAGCCTATTGGTGTGTACCTCTAAGTCCTTTGGATGACATGGCAGCAACAGCATCACTAAACGTTTCCAAATCCTTAGCAACAAGTGGGACAACAGAACCGTGCCTGCAGTATGATGTGCACTGCTGTAACACCTTCTCAGGTGCCCCCTTCACATAATACACCTCTGAATTGTCCTGCAAGAGATATACAACCTGTGAGTGCCACACCTATGTATGTTCAAAATATCAGATGTTTATCTTACTTCAAAGGAAAAAAATCCCCACAAATGAAAAGGGCAGTTTTACCTCAAAATGTGTTATTTTGATATGCGCACTATCATCTCACTAATTGGCATGAATTTCCCAAACACTCTCAACCGGAAATCTGACTGTCTTTGACAGTTCATGGTGTTAGTCTCCTCTACTAACTATGTGTCTGTCGACAAACAGTCAGCCATTGAGGTCCATGTTTAATACAATGTGGATTAATAACTGGGCTTGCACTAAAGTAGGTTCCTGGGGCAATTGCCTTTCAGTCTACTTACCTGTTTTCTATATCTTACAGCCATCCACTTCTTCTCTGAGCTGAAAGAAATTTCTTCCGTACGTTTGTACATGTTTCTTGGGTCATCAATACCAAGCTGTTAAAGGGACAACATACAGTTTCTTGAAAACAATCATTTTTCTTCCATGCAAAAGCATACAATAGTTGCACTCAATAAACTATATTCATAGGTCAGTATAAACCATACTACTTCCTGTGCACCTTGTCCCTTTGTGATTTAGCCTGTATCTCTAGGTGTGTGATGTCTTGTTATACAAAAATCACTGGCATTATAACATAGCTAACAAACCCAGGCAATCATATCCAATAATCCAAAAGTGGTAGTATGAGCAGATTGCTTCCACTGGCAATGTTATAAAACAAATATTGGTTCATCCGCTTGGGAGGTCTGGAGAGCACTCAAGAAGCTATCGCCTCAGGAAACTTGTTAACTTCTTTACTACTCTCCAAACTTCCTGTGTGCACCATAACTTGATAGTGCATGTTGAAGCATGAACCAATATGTTTCATTGCAAATTGTTACCTTGAGTGCAACAGCTATAAGGGCACCTTCTGTTGGCTGGCCAAATAGAGAGCCATCTTGAATGTGTGCATTGTTGCATAGATAACCAACCTGCAACCATCATGTCAAGTTAAACATCGGGCAATGGCTATGTTGTAACAGTTACAAAACACAACAAATAAACACAAAAACTGGGGACTCCTTACCTCGATAACTTTAGTTATAGACAAGTTGCTGTTTGGCGTTAGAGTTTGGCCTGCAATGGTTACATGACCACACCCATTGTAACCCACCCCAGAAACCTGCAAAATATGGAGAACATGACTCAGTTGTATAATTCTCCTGCCTTTAGAACACTAAGTATAAGAAGAAACCACTAGGAACAACAATTACCTCTGCATAGTGTCCATCAGCACTGAATATCTGTGTCGCTGTCATCTCATTCTTGGTCAGTGTGCCAGTCTTATCAGAACAAATCACACTAGCACACCCGAGAGTCTCCACAATGGGAAGCTTTTTGACAATGGCATTTCTTCTGGCCATTCTCATCACACCAAGTGCTAGAGTTACAGTGACCACTATGGGAAGACCCTCTGGGATGGCAGCTACTGCCAAGCTGTCAAAGAAAAATCATGACAAAATTGTTAAAAATTATCATTTACTGGGGTTCTGCAACAATTAATTTCATTTTTTCAGAGAAACAGCCACTAAGGTAACAGCATGTCTTAAACACATGCTTTTGATCATTTGTGCCATGCCATAATTGATAATAATTGTCACAAATGGCCAAAGATCAATTCTCTATTTCTTACCTGACTCCAATGGTGAACATCTCTAGAATAGCTCTCTTTTGTAGCCATCCCAAAAGAATAATAAGTCCTTTGAGAAAAAAGACCACAAAGATACTTGTTAGTACAAGGATCTGATGGGGAAAGACTTGTAAATGAGCCTTATTCTCAGAACTGTCATTAAATTTTGATTCACCGATAACCTTGATCTTCACACCCGTAACAAATTTGTTACTTAATATGTTAATAGTATCAATTACAGGCAAGTTCACAAGTAACATCAAGGGTCCATCAAACATACTCAGTCATAACAGGTGTTACAGGTTACAGCCCTTATTGTCCGCCCTGATTCTGATGTTGACCCATTTCATTGATTGAAATTGAACCTAAGTTTGCTGATGATAAACCTTTGGCTTTGCTTGAAGACATCCTAACCAGCTTGAAGAAACGTCTTTAAGACTAACAGAACAAGCACCCACCTATGATACAAAGGGAATAAAAAGATAACTGTTTTCCTAAGATGTCCATGCTTTTTTGAAGAGGAGTCTTCGGAGGCTGAAATAAAACAAGATTTAAATTTACATTTAATGTTTAAATCTGCTACTTTCCCATCAATCACAAAATTGCAGTCAATCTCTACATCTAACTAAAGATAAAGCATCACTTTACACAAAACAATCACTAACTAGTTTGTTTGTTTGTTAAGTAAAGTGAAAAAATGATAATCAAAAGCTCACTGATTAGAAGTTTGAACTGTTTGCTGTTTCTATGATAAGTGGTTCTACTTTGATGCCAACGAAAGTACATGTAAAATGAAAAAAGCAGCTTCTCAACAATATTAATTCTACTGGAGATCACAATACAGTGCTTTCACCTGCATGTGCAAAGTTCTGGAAAAATGTTAACAAAACATAAAATTTTGCCACTGGTTTGCAAAAATAAGGTGCTCAAAAAACTGGTGGTTAGTCCTTCTTACCAATTGCTCCTTAATAACTTGATGATATACTACATACCTCTTCTGCTTTCATCATTTTAAAAACTTCACCAAATTCTGAATTTTCACCAGTACCGGTGACAACACCCTGGAAAAGAAGAAGTTGTATCGCACTAACTCAGTAAATGTCATCCATAAATAATGACAAATACGGTAAAAACTATTTATAAGGTGATCAATGAAACAAGATGTTTATTTTTTGGTTCAATTCCTTGTCCTATAACAATTAATAAATTGTGAAGGTGAATTAATCAACATGACACGAGCGTGGGACAAAGAAAAATTCTGAGTCCCCGACAGGAATCGAACCCATGACCTCCCGAACACCGG